CTTAGTGATCTTGGTAACCTCCCCTGCAAATTATTCTTTCCCATTTTAATTTCTTTGAGTTTGTTTCCACTTTCCCATGTTTCAGGAATAGGACCATGGAAGTTGTTTCCTTCCAAGTTTAAAACCAACATGGAGCTGAGGTTGCCAAAACATTGCAGCATTGTTCCGCTCAAATTATTTTGAGACAAATCAAGCAGTTGAAGAGAAGTCATGTTGCAGAATTGAGGTGGAATTTCTCCACTAAACATATTCCCAGAAACGAAGTAGAAAAGGATAGAGAGTGGTGGGATTGGTAGAGAACCTTTGAGAGAGTTAAAACTAAGGTCTAGATATAAAAGACTAGAAGGAAAAACAAGAAAGGATTCTTCAAAACTTGTGAAATTGTTGTTTGAAAGACATAAAGCCCACAGACTTGCACTCATATTAAATATCCAACTAGGTATCTGGCCATGGAGGCTATTGGAGGCGAGGATGAGGACATTCAATTCACTTTGGTTACGCAAAAAGTCTGGAATCTCTCTTAGATTACAAGAAGCAAGACTCAGTAATTTAAACTTTGGAATTGTTTTATTGGTGGGGGTTTTGATTACTAATGAGAAATTATTAAAGGATAAAGCCAATGAATTAAGGGATTTGAGTTCAAGAAATGTGTCAAACTCAACAATACCACTTAAGTTATTGAAGTAAACATAGAGTGCTTCAAGGTTCCTAAGTCTGGAAATTGAGCTTGGAAGAGAGCCCTGTAACATATTAAACCCGAGACCCAATTGTCTTAAATCTGTTAGGTTTGTAATCCAAGATGGAAAATTGCCAGTAATATGATTATAAGAAAGGTCTATCTTCATGAGATGGTTCAAACTAGCCAAAGAAGAAGGGACCTCACTAAAAGTGAATTGATTTAATCTAAGATTTATTTGAGTTAGTTGAGTGAGGTTTGAGAAGAAAGGAGCGTTTTCTCCCCTAAAAGAATTATTTGGGAGGTTCAATACGTGGAGTTTGGTGAGATTACCAATTGAAGGTGGTACCCAACCTGAGAGGTTACAACTACTGACATCTAAATATTCCAAAGAGCTAAGCATTCCTATTGAGATAGGTAACTCACCAGAAAAGGTTGTGTTTCCAACATCAAGTACCCTAAGTTGACTGTGAGAGTGAAATTTAGGAAAACTACCACTAAGTTCCCAATTGTTATCCAAATCAAGGACTTGAAGTTTAGGTAGTTGGAAAATGTCTATGGGAAACTTTTCAAGCAATCCACATTGACCAAAATGGATATGTGTCAATGATGACATGTTTGCCAAGGCCTTAGGGATTGGAGAATTTATACCAACATAAGAGAGGTCAAGCCATCCTAGCTTGGTTAAGTTTTGAGCTAGGCTGTTCAAATCAGGCCTTTTGAGTTCCAACAATCCTCGATTTGAATAATCAAGATTGAAAGAAAGGTCAAGCTTAGCTAAATTAGAGAGTTTTGAAATTTCATGTGGAATATGACCAGAAAAGAAAGAACCAGAGAGGTTGAGATAAGTTAACCTGGAAAGATTGCCCACTGCAGATGGTATCTTAGAGAAATTGAAGTCATTGAGTGCAAGGTTGAGGTATTGAAGGTGTCCAAGGCGGAAGAGGCTGTTGCTGGAATTGATAAAACCAAAGAGACAACTATTACTGAGATCAACGCCTATGACATGAGAAGTGTCTTGGTCACACCATATGCCCTCCCATGAGCAACAATCAACCCCTTGAGATTTCCAGAGATTGACTTTAGGACGAGTACATGCTTGCCTTTCAATGACAAAGTTGTCTTTGAATTGCATTAGAGCAAGATACTCATCCTTATGACACAGTTGCTGATGTGAGGATAGTTGAAAGAAGGAGATCATCAAGAAAACCGAGCTTAAAAGACAGAAGTGAGTGGAGGAGGAAGCCATGGTTTGTTTGGATATGTTGGTTTTGAACTTGTAGAAATTCATGAAACTAAAGAGCTTTTATAGACAATTATATTTAGCTTATTTGCTAAGGAAGAGGGCAAAAGCTTGGGCCCAGGGTTTTTAAGTTATATTATCAATAACTCGATTTTTAAATGTTAAAGTTGATCATGATTGCTCATACCAATTCAACCCAGATGCCTTGAAAATATCAACACACTTGAATACAGATTTACAAGCATATACATAAGATACAAACAAGCCCGTATACATCATATAAGTAAAAAATACAAGTGTCTCATTATTACTCGGAACAAATTCAAGACAAACATTTATAGATACAAGGATGGTTTGTATTGAAACTGTCAGAGACTATAATACAAATATGCAAGCATAAGATATCTACAATACCAAATCTAGAGTAAAGGTGGACTGTTACGGTTGGAGCAGTGGCATAAAAGCTGTGATGTTACTACCACAAAACAGCAAAACGGTGCAGCAGGAAGCTGCATTTATGGGATAAAATAAAATGTGTAGCAATAAAGCTGTGCTTCAATGGAGGAAAGAAAGATGCAGCAGTTATGGAAGGAAATGAAATGCAAATACAAATGGAGGCTGCAAATTAGTCAAGAAAAGTGCAGCAATGTGATAATGTTTCAATGTACTTTTTTATGTTAGTTTATGCATTGCAATCCTTGATTTAAATGTTAGGATAGATTTTGTAGGAATGTAACCATAAATCATGAAAATTAGGTGAAAAATAATGTTTTTATGTTGAATTTTCTGCTATAAATGGGCAGACATGTTAATGGAAATATGAGAGAGTTAGACAACAATTTCTCCTTTCTTCCCGGTTGGGTGAAATATCACGTTCTTAGTTCTACTCCTACTCTCCTCCAAGTCCTCTCTCAAGCCCTTCTTCTTACTTCAAAAATCTAACAGGTACAATCTTCAATACACCAAATCATCATGAAGATACTCTTTCCTTAATAGTTGTTTATGGCTCCACCCCACTGTGACCTGGAATTCTTCAATGCAAAAAATTAACAGTTGTTACTAATATTTCTCTTGCAAGTATCTAAGACCATAACTTTGGCACGTATGCGACACGAAATGCAAGCCACAGCAGTTGCCTTAAGCTAAAACAAGAACAGCAATTTTTTTGTTGGATAAAAGGAAGTTTAAGGGATGCATGTAATTTCAAAGGGAGTTTAAAGCTGGGATGTGTAGGATGAGAAGGGGAAGCCTTGTCTGTTGATGTGAGGATTTCGGGAATAAGGAAGCTTATTTGTATTTTGGATGTAAGGAAACATTTGTACCCCTTTAATAATAATAATTATAATTTGTTTTGCCTTCGAAAAAAATAATGATATACAAGCAGATATTTACATTTGTGTTATTATCAATGAGTAAGGAACTTGATTAGGTCAATTAAAATTATTAAAATAAAAAACTAATTTTGAAAGAATAATTTAACATTCTAAGACTTCTTTAACAATAATTTCTCAACGTTCTCCTATGTTAGATTTTGTTTTTTTTTTTGAAATGGCACTCTTGTAGAATTATTACCATTTGTTTTCAATTTTTTTTTTTTTTAACGTCGTGAATGCTGGGATATTTGGGGAGTGGGATGAACTTGAATACGAGTCCGATGAGAATCCCTATGCCGCGAGTTACCACTTGCTTTACCCAGCGGCTCTCATTTGTTTCCAAGTTTTCAGAGGCAAATATATCTATTAGAATCCATCCACCCGATAATTCACAGAAGCAACTTGCCTTGAATGCTTCTAAATGTTAAATACGATAATGACAGCATGGAACCAAAAGTCAAGCAAGTTGATCAGCGTGGGACCAAAAGGCAAGCGAAAAGTCAAGCAAGTTGATCAGCATGGGACCAAAAGTCAAGCAAGTTGATCAAAATATCAACTCCTTTTTCTAAAATCAAATATGATCATGACAGCATGGACCAAGAGTCAAGCAAGTTGATCAAAATATCAAATAATAAAACAAGAACATTGACATACCTAACTGAGGAGGGACCGTGGGAGACCTGCAATGAAGTATGTTTCTCCCTGTTTTGCATGGTCTTCTGTACATATTTTTAGAATAAAAAATAGAACAAATCATGCTTGTACAACCAAAGATTCACCTGCCTCCACCAAAACTTCACACCTTTCTCAAATCGCTTTTTTTTTTTAATGATATGTTGCATTTTCACATTACTGAATATATTCAAGCAGATTTAAATTTTTTATGTGGACAGATGAATTTTATTAAACGGGGTACAAGCAGTAGCCCAACGCATATATTGATATACATTTAAACCAATCTCAAAAGACGTCTGAGTCCATAGGAGATTCCTAGCAGACAACACTTACAAAACACTTCATACTAATGCGCTTTGTTGGAGTTGTGGTGTCAGAGCTGCAACAGTGGCAGCAAATGAAAAAAAGGGTGAGCTGCACCAACAGCACAGTAGCAGCACAGTAGCAGCAAAGTAGGGCAATTTGGAGCTGCACAAAAGGGTTAAAGCCAACTGTAGTCCTCGACTTTGTGAAAATGTTCGTTACCATCCCTCTACTAAGGAAATGTTCGATTTCATCCCTCTACTTTCCTTACAGTATAAATGTCATCCCTCCACTACACCATTTTTGTTCAATGTCATCCCTAATTGGATGCCATCCACATTTCCATTAATTTTGACCATTAATTACTAACGGTCAAAGACTCAACTTTTTGTTTACTAATTTTTTTTTCTACCAAATCAGACAAGTGGGACCATTTTTTTTTTTAACTCTTTCTTTTATTTCCTTTTCTTTCTTCCTCACGGTCATTTTCCCTGAACCACAGAACGAAGGCCATGCCCTTCTTCATCGTCTTCACCAGTTCACCAGTTCACTAGTTCACCAGTTCATCCATCTAGTTGTTCCTCTTCTTCACTCTTCTTCACCAACCTTCGATCTTTCTTTCTTTCTTTGTCATCTTCACCATCTTCACCAGAAAACCCTATGCTTAAAATTGCCCAAAATCGCCTAAAATTGCTGAAAATCATCTTGATTTTCTTCACCCGAATCACGCACCATCTTCAGCAATTCACCCAATCGGTTGCTCCTCCTCTCCACCCTTCTTCTCTATATGTTCTGGCTTTCTTTCTTTCTTTGCCATTTCCACCGTAACCCACAAAATCCTACACCCAAAATCGCCCTAAATTGCCCAAAAATGCCGAACCCAAAATTGCCCAAAGTTGCCAAAAATCATCTTGCTTTTTCTTCCCCCAATCATGGAATCACCCAAACCCAAAATGTGTTTGAGCAACTGCTATTAACCGTGGAATTTCTCATTTATTTTGTGTTGATTTTGGGTTGTGATAGCTACTGTTAATCATGAATTTTCTTGTTGATTTTGTGTTGAATTTGGTTTGGTGAGATTTGTTATTAATTGTTGTTGATTTTGGGTTGTGCTGTGGTATTATGGTTGATTTGGATTTTGATACATATAGTTTTTGTTTTATATTGTTGTAGAAGGATGATGAGGCTTGAGCTGAATTCTGGATAACATGTTGCTGGATAAGGAGCAAACACTGATGAATGAGCTCCTGTTATTGAAAAGAAAGAATTTGGATGAGCTCCTGTAATTGAAAAGAGAGAATTTGGACTTGCTCCTATAATTGAAAAGAGAGAATTTAGACATGCATGGAGAGATTAACTATTTGAAGAATTTGAACTCTGAAATGGGAAAAAAGCTTAGAGATCATGAGATGGTTGCTTCAATTTGGTTGAATTTGAAAATGTGTTTTCTACAGTATTGCTTATTTGGCAATTAAGTTGTGTTAGATAGTTGTCTGCATTTGTAGAGGGTCTTTTTGTCTACTTTTGTAATGGACCACTTATGCCAAGCCAGGGCAATCTCCTATGTACTGCAAATGTGAAATGGAATATATGACTCTTTTTTGGTCATGTTAATTGCCAAATTATGTCTATCTTTTGAGCATTTTCAGCTATATAAATGCAAGATTTGCTAAAGTAGGTACAGGACATAATAGAAAAACAGAACTTAACCAAAAAAAACAAAAGTGCAGTAGATTAGAAGGATTGTAATTTGGCATATGTTAGTCTCTGTAAACTTTGCTCTATTGCTTGCTTATACGAGACATGACTTAAAAAAAATAGAGCAACAAAAAACAAAAACAGTGCAGCACATTACAGGAATTTACATGCTCTAATTGTCCCTATTATAAACCATCAATCACAGAATATAAACCATTAAATAGATAGAATTAACACTACTAAAACTCCAAAATTAGAAAGAAACAAAAAAACAAAACCAAAAGAAAAAAATGGTCCCACTTGTCTTATTTGGTAGAAAAAAAATTAGTAAACAAAAAGTTGAGTCTTTGACCGTTAGTAATTAACAGTCAAAATTAATGCAAATGTGGATGGCATCCAATTATGGATGACACTAAACAAAAATGGTGTAGTAGAGAGATGACATTTATACTGTAAGGAAGGTAGAGGGATGACATCGAACATTTCCTTAGTAGACGGACGGTAACGAACATTTTCACAAAGTATGAGGACTACAATTGGCTTTAACCCTGCACAAAATGGCAGCAAACTCCTACATCTTAGTCAATGTGTAAGGTAGAGGTTATGGTATTAAGTAGAAATTACTGTTTATATATATTATGAGATTTTTATTATATAAGTTGAGATTTATTACTATTTTTTAAATAAAAAATATTTATTTTTAATAAATGTGAGAACAGGTGAATAAATTTAATTATTAAAAATAAAAATATATAAATAATTGAGATTTTAATGTAAATATGATATTTTAAATTTATGTATAAATAAATTTTACGTATATAAATATGTTTGAGTGCTAAATGTCAAAGGTGATCACAACAGCACACAATACAAATTCAAGTATTCCTAGACAGAAGAAGAAGAAGAAGACTTGAACATTGAAAAAATTGACTTACCTGCTCGACGTGTGAATCAAATACATGATCACATCAAAGCCACAGATGATTCGACCTAACTTGTCCTGCCACAATAATGTCGAAGATTGTGAGATTACATATGGTGATATTAGTCAATGGTAGGTGGTAGGGCACCAATTAATGTATTACCGTGAAAATCACAACTAGAAAAGGTAAATTTTCAGACTAATATATTGGTTTGAAAACGACAGAAAACAATTTAGTGATACATATTCAGATTGATATTGATTTGAAAAGTTGGATTGAAAATATTTAGTATGAGACAAATTCTAATTAGATCAACCATATGTCGGTCAAAATATTTGACGTTTTCAGACCTATTTGCTGTCTGAATAATTAAGCCAAAACAACAATGTTTCAATTAATAGATTGAGTGAAATATTAAAATATTAAGTAAAATTAGGCTACAACCAATTTGAATAAATATGGACTCAATGTTAAAAATAGAAAGTACCATTCGTATATTGAGGTTTTTACGAAATCTTATTTAGACCGTTAATAATTTGTATTATTGTGTACTGAATTGTTAAAACATAAAAAAGGAAAGGTTTTTTTGCCAACCTATGGATAGTTATTCCATACCATTATCGATCTGAAATAAAAGGCTTTAATAAAAAAA